TGTTTTCGTTAACTTCCTTCCCAGAAACGGCTCTGGACTAATCAGAGTTCCCAGCATTAATGTCTCTGCTTTCCTCCCCTCTGTTCTTTCTCTAAACAAAGGCTTCGTGTTTTAATAGGCACAATAACATTAAAATTAGCTTGATTAGGCTCTAGGTGGATTTAACCTAGTGACATCTCTGCTTGGCTTGGAAGCCATGCATTTTATTTTATGCACAGGATGTGAGTGTTACAGTGACTTGGGTATGAAAGGATGATTGAATTAAAGTGGCCATCTTTAGATCCTGCCTATTAATTTAGCCTATTAAATCTGAGAAACCTGGACCCACAGCTTGGAGCCCAGTCCACCTGCCTCTGTCCTGGATGTGTGTTATATCACAAGTGTAAGCACAGTCACCCTCTACTGCTGTTCACTCCTTTGGGAACCTTCCTGGTTCTTGGAGAGCTCATAATGGGAGGTGTGGCCTCTGATATGGCTTAGCAGGCATAGATACCCACTGCCAAGTCAGACAACCAGATGGAGTTCAGTTCCCAGGATCCCACATGGTGACAGGAGAGAGCCCATTCGGGCAGTTGTCCTCTGGTTTCCTCATACACACCATGGCACATGCCCTTCTCTCAAATATGTACGTGTACATTTATGTATTTATTGGTTGAGGCAGGGTTTCTTTATGTAGCCCTGGCTGTTCTGGAACTAGCTCAGTAGATCAGGCTGGCCTTGAACTTAAACAGATCTACCTGCCTCTTTCTCCTGAGTGCTGGGACTAAAGGTGTGTGCCACCACTGCCAGGCACTTTTTTTTTTAAGTGTAATTTTTTTAAAGCAATAATTATAACTGGACACCTTTTGCTGAAGACCCACAGCTACCAGCTCCCTTCTTTACCTGAAAGCCACCATGTGTGCCTTCATTAAATAGCAAAGCCCCATGTTGTGGGGCTAGCTACTCTGTCTGAGTGCTTTTTAGCCTCTCCCCCTAAAAGGGAGCCCTGACCATTAGTAGACCATCTAGTAAGAGGAAGCTGAGGTGCAGAGTGCCTGCCTAGTTATCGGCTGAGCCTAGTTTAATGTCTGACTTGCTGACTAGTCTTTATCTGTGTGCTTGGTGCCCCCCCCCCCCAAAGGGCTTGGAAAAGCAGGGTTTTTCTTTTTTTTCTTTGAATCGAGGGTGTAGGCTTTATGTTCCCTGAGCTCACTAGGAACCAGGAATATCACACCTAGTATTTGAATAATATAATAATTAGCATACAATGGTAGCATTTGGAAGCAGGCACAGAACCCTTAACCCCTGGTCATGGCTACTTCAGTTTGGAACCTTTACTAAGTTTCTGGGCATTGTTATAAGCACAGCCCAGGAGGTAAATGTAAAAATAATTTCCTTGCCAGTTTTTTTCTGTGTGGTATCCTAGCAACGATGGAATGGCTGTCCTTGGTCATGGGGGCACTGGCTGGGACAGTGTCAGTACTCACCAAAAAAAAGGAGGGATGTGAAGGGCACAGTCAGAGCTGGCCTTTCAAAAAATCAATGCAGGGGCTGGAGAGATCACTCGGTGGTTAAAGGCCTCACCCTGTAGCCCATGCTGATTGTGAACTTGTAGAAATGCCCCTGCCTCCTAAGCCTCCCAAGCATTGTGATTATGGTCAGGCACCACCCACACCTGTATTTTTAAAGGTTTCCTAAATTAGTTATTTTTAACCAGCATTTTATGATCTTATCATCAAAGTAATATATGTGTATTGTCAGGCGAGTTAGCCACACCAGAAAAACCTCAAGAAGATAAAAACCCACATGGTTCTGACATTGTTACATATTGGCTTTCAGCATCTGGTGGTCTTCTCTACTGAACCATACTCTGATTAGGAGTGCATGGCTAAAAACAATAATAAACTCAGACATACCTCACACCAACATGGACAGTAATTTGTGCATACTGAAGTTTGAATGCCTGTGAGCTGGAAGGATAACTGACAAATCTCTACAAGAAGGCTGGGGGCAGAGGATTCTCCTTTTAAGACAGGTCCAATCCCCACTGGCCAGTGTGTTCAGGTGAAGAATTGAGCTGTATTCCTGTTTGCCTGGAAGGTTTGTTCCATTCTGCCTTAATATTAGGGTTTTACAGCTCTAATGTGGGCTAATAGATTTACTTGTGAGGCTCTTGTGCCATGGCAGCAACATGTTTGCTGCAGGGCATGGGTGAAGTCAGTTATTAAGAAAAACGAGCACCAGGCAACTCCATGGAAAGTGCTTTCCACCCCCACCCACCCCCACCAGTCAACACATGCACACAGTTAGGGTCTTTTGTCTTAGAATCTGTTGTTTATTCTACAGTAAGTATTATATATATATTTCACTATGTAGACCAGGCTGGCCTCTGGCTCACAGAGCTCTGCTTGCCTCTGTTTCCAGAGTGCTAAGATTAGAGATGTGTGCTACTGTACCTAACCTAAAGTATATAATTTTTAATTTATTTTATTGGTTTTTTTGAGACAGTGTTTCTCTGTTTCTCTGTATTGCTTTGGAGCCTGTCCTGGAACTCGCTCTGTAGACCAGGCTGGCATTGAACTTACAGAGATCCACCTACCTCTGCCTCCCGAGTACTGGGATTAAAGGCATGTGCCATCAACACCCAGCTTTATTTTATTTTTTTTTTAAAGATTTATTTATTACATATACAGTGTTCTGTCTGTATGTATGCCTGCATATCAGAAGATAGCACCAGATCTCATTGTGGATGGTTGTGAGCCATCATGTGGTTGCTGGGAGCCGAACTCAGAACCTCTGAAAGAGCAGCCAGTGCTTTTAACCACTGAGCCGTTTCTCTAGTCCCTTAAACTTGGACATATTTTACTGTAAGGCTGTACCATAGTGCATTAGCTAGTCTCTTATGTGTTTAGGTCATTGTAGTTATGTACTGATAGGGAAATGGTGACATCATTGAGTGCATTTTGCAAATAAATCCTTAACTGTGGAGCTCATGGCTCACAAAAGCTGAGTGTTTTTAATACTTTTATTTCGTATTGCCAAAAAGTCCCCAGAAATATTGTGCACTAAATTAGAAATTATTCAAAAGAATCTTCCACTGCATTCCTGTTCTTTATTTTTGGATGGCCCAGGGTTTCTGTTCATTTTTGGCCCATTTATCTGGGCAAAGAATTTTTTTAAGTGAGGCTAGAGATAAGTGAATGCTGGTTGCTGGCTTCTTGTGGAAGGGTGAGCTCGCTATTCATTTTTATAAAACTGTCCTTGGTAGACATAAAGACAGTATAGTAATATTTAAAGGTCACACGAAGTTTTAACAAGTGTATTTGATATGATTTTTAAGGTTTTTTTTCTTTTAGATTTACTTTTAATCTTTTTATGTGTATAGGTATTTTGTGTGTATGTATATACACTGCAGGGTTTAGGACTTGAACCCAGGCTCTTTGGGGAAGTAGTTGGTGCTCTCTCCACCTCTATTCTCAGCACCCCCTACTCCCCACAGCCCCACAGGAAAGTATTTTTCTGTATAGCCCTGGCTGTCCTAGCACTCAATTTGGCCTCGAACTCAGAGAGCCACCTGCCTCTGCCTCCTGAGTCACAGTTGGTGCTCTTAACTATTGTTCCAGTCCCAGTTCTTTATTCTTATTTGTGTGTGTTTGCTTGCATGTGTGTGGACACATGTCCACATGCACATGGAGGCTGGAGGTTGTCTTTCTTGATTGTTCTCTGCCTCATATATTGAGGAACCTGCTGTATGACCTCCCTGAACTGGGAGGTTACTGATTTAGCTAGTATAGATAGATAGCTTGCTTCCAGATCCTCTTCTTCACCTTCCTAGCCCTGGGATTACAGGCAGGCCTTGACACCCACCCAGCATTACGTGGGTGCTGGGGACTGGAAATTAGTTCCCCTGAGCCAGACCTTCAGTATGATTTGTGATTTGGAAAATAGTTCACTGTCTAGTATCATAGAGGTGATGGAATGAAAATGGCATTTGTGTATTTATCCAAAGCAGATAGGAGTTAAACAAATCTCTAGAGAAGCATTGTTCTAACCCATCCCTGCACTGAGACCAGAGAGCAAAGGTGTTTCTGACAGACACCGTAGAACAGTGATGGCATTGGCATAGAGCCATGGGTGAAGATTCCCAGCTCCGTGTTAGACTGTTTTCCAGGGCCTGTGGGCTGTCCCATGCACCCTCTGGACAAAAGCCGATTCTCAGGCATGGAAATCTGCTCTGCCCAGTCATCTCCACCTGTTGATGGGAATATAAGTAAACCTTAGTTGCCAGTGTACTTCCTCATCAAGCCTCTGTTTTCTTGATTGCTGAGTCAGTTTGGGGTCCCTTGCCTACCAGCATCTGTGCTCCTATACTTTTGTGATCACTGTAACCAGTTTGTTCTGTATAAACTCTCATCATGACTAGACTGTTCCTGCAGGAACTTTATCCTCTATGTGTAGCTACAGGCACATTCTAAGTCTTATTTTTATTTGAATATTTAGATGCTAATGAATGAATAGAAGTGTGTGTGTGTGGGTTGCTGGGCGGTTCTGTTTCCGCTTGCCTGCAGAAGCAGAAGTCCCTTATTACCAAGGGCATTGAGAGAAGAAAAACACAGTTGGGGCTGCCAAAGCCAATGGGTACAGTCTACTTCTCTGGTGCTTGTCAGTGGACCCCTAGGGTATGGGGGTCAACAGCCACATCCAACCAAGCATTCTTTCCTGGCTTACCAGAATCAGCTGGGCAATCCCCAAGGTGTTGGTTGTTAAAGCGGAGCTTCCAGAAACATTTTGCAGAAGAAGAATTCAAGGTCAGGGCTCTCGGAGGGTTTTTGGCGGCGCGTGGACATCTTACCACGTAACCTACAGCCTGGTTCTCACAGTTGATGGGTGCTTGCTGCAAGGGCTTGGCAGGGCTATTGGTGGCTGGCTGAGCGCCAGAGCGCCGCAGTGCTGAGGCCGTAGGTCCTGCCCTCCCCGCGCGCCTGCCTCACTCCCCTCCTCCATCTCAGCCTCCTCTAGCTTGCAGCATCCTCTGCAAGGAAAGGAATGTGCCAGTCTGGGACGCGCCGTCCTGTCCGCGCGGCAGCACCTAGGGCGCCCTCTGGACTGCCAGGGGCCGGCGTCTGGCGCTGCGCGGCGCGTTTGGGTCGGTGCTGATGTCAAGTGGGTGTGGGCTCTTCGCAAAGGCCCAGGCGAGGACGAGGAGGGCGCACGATGTGCGGTGGGCGCTTGGAGGCCCAGCCACATTCTGTGGCTCAAAGCTGTTGACCGGTGGCCCACCGGGGCCCGAGCGGGCGCATGGAGCCTTGGCGCTGCTCGCCCCGGGATGCACGCCCCGCAAACCTGGAGTGCTGGGGAGAGCCGCGGGCAGCCTGCAGGTGTGTACACGCACGAACTTTCTCGGGCAGGACGCGGGGATCGTGGGCTGCGGTCTGGTGCTTTGTGTCTGGGCTCGGTGGGTTAGGAGAGAATTCAGCTGGCCCCTGCTTTCTCTTCTCTTGGGAAGGGCGCGCCGGTAGCTGCCCAGCAGGGTTAAGAATCGCATTAACAAGTCCTGCTTGTGTTCATGGTAAAAGGATTCTCTCTGCAGACAGCACGGTGGCTTTCCAAAATCGCCGGTGGTGCGTGGGAACTGAGAGGCCCCAGAGGTGTGGGAGCTGCAAGTCGGGAGGCTGGCTCCGAAGGAGGCGGGAGGTGGCCATCGGTTCTGAACTGGGTGGGCCGATGACCCCACCTTCCCGCCTTACCAGAGCCTTTCCTTGTGCACTTTCTGGAGAGCAAAAGCCTGAAGCTGGCTGTGGAAAGGTCAGGGGTCAGCTCCTTGTGAGTGACATCTCAGGTGTCAGAAACATCTTCCTGGAGGAAGGAAAGCAGGGCTTTGTTCCAGGCTCCCTTTGCACCCTAAGCCCTGAAGCCCGGGGGTCTAGGGCTGGCGCTCCAGCGCTATCACTCATCTTTCTTGGCAACAGCAGCTCCTGGTAGGCAGGTTAATTTTTAATATGTATCGGCTGGCGACAGAGACTCCAGAAATGAGATTGGTGGCTCCCAATCCCCCACCCCCTTTGCTGTTTCAGTCCATGATACTGCAGTGTATTTCCAAGAGGGGTGTGGGCATTCTCCCAGGAAAGCAGTATTCAGGAGGGAACCCCTTTTCCTGTCTGTGGGACAGCCAGACTCCCTGGGGAGGAGCAGTAAAACAATATCCCTTCATTTTTGTTTATTTATTTTTTAAACAGTACGCACCTTTTCTCTTTTCCTTTGGAAACCGACTACACTCTAACACAAACTGAGCTCTTTCAGTGTGCACCTGGAGTTTGAGCTGCAAACTCTACCTGCAAGCCTCACTCTACAAGTGCCTCTGCTGTTGCTTTGAGAACTTGGGTCTGCAGGAGGACCTGTGTCAGGACCCTGACAGGCGGCACTCGAGCTGTGCCTCCAGTAGAGAGGAAGACAAACCACAGTGCAGAACTAGGGGGCGGGTGGAGTGAAGCTCTCCCTCGGGCAGTTTCAGTTTCCTTTCTGGCCTTGGCAGGAGAGCATGGATTCTGTCTCCGGGCGGGCACTAGGTGTGCACCTCGGGTATTTCTACCTGGGCCCCAAGGAACAGAACAGGTAGAGCATGGATTCCAACAGCTCTGATGGAGGCATGGATTCCAACAGCTCTGGGGATAAATGGAAGCAAGTGTGAGGACAGGTGACACCTTCAGCCTTCCTGGCAGTTCTGAGTCTTGAGACCTGAGAAGCTGTGATGGATTGCTTTTCTTGCTTAGTTAGGATGGAGTACTGGGTCTGGGAAATGAGTGTGGTGAGAAGGAAGACTGTTGAAAGTGGAAGAAGGTGGGCTTACAGAGGGGGTTGGGAGTGGAGGGCAAGGAGGCCAATTTTAACACTGCCTGTCTATCAGGTGACAGACGCTCTAAAACAGGCCTGGGGTCCTCTACACTGGAGCTTTCTGAAAACTTCCTCAGGAACTTGCCCTCCACTCCAGCTCTGTGGGCTGGCTGCTCCAATGGCTGCTCAGACAGAGCCATCTCACCCATCTTTCATGTAGAATAGAGGGCTTGTCTATAAGGAAACGGCTTTCCCTGATATCCTGGATAACTGGGGAAACTGTACCATGGGTTTCTTCAGCAAGGAGAGCCTGCTGGTCTGTACACTCTGGGTACCACTGTCGGCCAGGAGCACTGTGTCTTCCAGCGGTGACTCAAGCTATTGGTGCTGTGTGGAGGGTTTGGAGGCAGCTCTGATTGTGAGCCAGTTTTCCTCTGTTCAGGAAATTGGCCCAAACCTGCCATCTAATAATGCCTGCTCACCTTTTGGCTTGCTGCCTATGTCTCAGTATTCACTGATAATGGCCCCATCTCTGCCTGATGAAGCTATCCAAGGGGATTCCGTAAATAGACAGAGAATAGTAGTGTCCTCTAGGTACTATATGTTGAATAGGAAGGGATTAGAGATTGGAGGGTTTCAGGGAAAGCAGAGCAATTTTCAGGGAGGCTTTGGGATTATGGGGTGGATTGTAGATGGGTGTGACTGTTTGGAAGTGTCCATGTGTTGTGTCCCTTTCTCCCCTCCTGACACCCCCCCCCTTACTCCTTAATTCTATTCTAAGTAGAACAGGTAGACTTTCTAGCAGCAGCTGGGCACTGACTCTGCTGGGCACTGACTCTAGGAGCCTCTGACAGCAAGAGAGGAATGCTCTGAAGGTTTGTTCTGAATCAGGAGACTGGGAAATAGACTCCAGTAGCCATGTCTGCAAAAACAGAAAGATCCTTCTGGGGATTGCACTCTCTTGGAGGCAAAGGGGGCCTTTATTCCAGGCCTGTGTGCTGTAGGCAGGCTGAGACAAAGGGAGAGAGAGAATAAGGGGTTGTTGAGCCAGAGTGTGTCATTTTCTCTGTGGACTTGGTTCTGAACTCAGTCTCTGCTATGTGTCCTTGAGTAAGTCAGTTTCTTCACCTGTGAAATAGGGATAAGGAAACCCTGCCCTAACCCTACACTGGAGAGGATTGTATAAGATGTTTGGAAAGGATTTGGCACAGTGCTGACTAATTGGTCGTTAGGGTCATTGGGTTATCAGCTTGGGGAGCTGTTTTCTCATAGGAAATATGAATGTTAGCAACCTTCTCTGGGCTTCTAGGGATAGGATGTGACAACTGTCCTGGAAGGGTTTAATCAGACTTGACCATCAAACTTGGCTTCCAGCCTCCAATACTGAAAGAGGCCTTTGGAGGGCTTGTGTGTGTGTGGGGGGGGGCACTGAAAGGTGTCCTAAGACTGACCAGCTAGTGCCTGTCACCCACTCAGGAAAGACACAGCCCTTGTGATCTAATGAGATCCTATGTGCGAATGTGGCATGGCATTCCATGCTCCATGGGGCTGTGTGCCTGGTGCTGTTGGACTCACCGTCTTGTGTAGGTGGTTGGATTCTTGAGTTTTACTGTTGTTCACATTTTATTGATGAGAATGTTGAGCTGTTGGGATTTGGTTGTCTCTTGGAAACCATCATTTTGAGAGTCTCTGAATTGAAGTTTCCTCAGATATGTTTGTGTACCCTTCTTCATTGACATGTTCTGCTGTTGTAGGCAAAATCAGGCATAAGTTGTAAACTGTTCTTATTGGCTCCTTGTTCTTTTGGGGTCTCTCCCTTCCCGTCATCCCACAGGCTCTAGAGCTAATGGGCATAGCATGATCTTCTCTGTAACTTTTGAATGTCTCTTGTGTGGGACTCTTCCCTCTAGCCCTCACTTTTACCTTTTAAGAAGTTATTCATTGGCTTGGTGGTAAAGTGCCTGCTGCCGAAACCTGAGGACCGGAGTTTAGATCCCAGCACCCACTTTAAAGCTGGGTGTGGCAGTGGGTATCTGTTACTTCAGCATGGAGGAAGGAGACTGGCTGATACTGGGGCTCTCTGGCCAGCTTCTGCTTGAAAACAGCCAGCTCTGGGTTCAATGAGAGATCCTGTCTGAAAAGATAATGTGGAGAATGATTGATGGTGGCATCTGACATTGACTTCTGGTCTGTATACACATGTACAGGTGAGTGCATCTGAACACACACGTTTACATGTCCATTTACCCCCCCCCCCCCACACACACACAGGACAAATCTGGTCCGTGTCAGTCATTGGGCTCAGCACTTCCAAAGGTCCCAGCTCTCTGACTCTTCAATGAGCGCTTCTGCCTCATTTTGCTTTTGGTTCCCATGATCGGCTAGTATGCACTTAACTTTGAAGTTCCCAAAGTATTAGAGGGGAAAAACTCAGAAAGAAGAAAGGAGCAGAACACCCTGAGAAAGCAAGGGTCACAGCCTGTGGTGTTTTCAACTCAGTATTGCTCATTACCAGAGTTACACTCAGCCTCCTATTTGTTTTCATTAGCTTGCTAGCTTGCAAGGCTGCAGCCTTGTGGGCTATTCTCTTTTTAATGACAAAAGCAACATTATGAAGGTGTGACATGAAGCAATAAATTCTAGTTTGGAAAGAAAAGTGAAAGCTACTGGTAGTACTCCAGGAGTCAGGAAGAGCTCTAGAAGGCAGGGAGATTCCGCAGTGTGCTCCTGCAGCCTCTGCCCCACAGCAGCCTGATCATATGTCACCAGAGCAGGTGGCATTCCCTTCATTTACAGCAAAATGCAGTGACTTGCCTGAGGTCAGGTGCCCACATATGTGCTGGTAACACATGGTGCTCTGACCTGGCCCAGTGGCAGGCAGTCTTGCTTAATAGTTTTAATGTTTTTTCTTTTCCATTATGTATTATAACACTTAAATATTCTAAAAGGAAATCAGAGGGGAGAACTGCATTTTGGTTTTTCTCTTAAGGAAGTGGGACATTCTTTTTTTTTTTTTTTTTTGGTCAGGGAAGATTAGACCATTATTACCTCTGGGCAGATCCGGTTTGTGCCTTGGAGCAGGTACTCTTTCTAGAAGCCTTGTTTCCTTAGAGTCGGGTCGCTCTGACTGTCTCTGCACCGTGAATGGAGAGAAAGATGAGCAAGATGTTCAGAATGGAGTCTGCGCTCTGCTGGTGACTACAGGCACATGGTGACGCCCAATATCCAGGCTTGCTCCCCCACTACCAGCCATTCATTCCTTTGTTTGTTTGTAAACACCCCCCCCCCCATGTAGCTTTGGAGCCTGTCCTGGAACTTGCATTGTAGACCAGGCTGATCTCTAACTCACAGAGATCTGCCTGCCTCTGCCTCCCAAGTGCTGGAATTAAAGGCCTGTGCCACCACTGTCCAGTACCATTCATTTACTTTAAAGAATGATGTGTCCTTTAATAATTTATTAAATGATTTGGATTGTATTATTTTGCTTGTTTGGGCTACTTGATAATATCAGATTATCGAAACTGAAAGGGATGGAAAACTTTTGACT